TCGAACAAAAATACACTTGTTAATGTAAATTGGTGGTAATGTATTCAAATGATTAACTGGCTTAGTAACTATATACTTTAGGAGAGGACAACATGACTAAAGAGCTTATGTGGCTCTTACTCCCATCTGAGGGCAGTTTCAATGTACTATATTCATAGTTGACTCTCACATCAATTTTCAAAGGCCTGTCTCAATGAATAGATCCTGAACTGATTTAGGCATGTCAGAACACACATATATGGCACTTAGGGAAATACCTTAGGTTATTTTTTCCCTAAGTACTGTACTGGACATATTAGGCATAGCATACAAAAGTTAACTACCATGAGTTTTGTTCATCATTCCCTCATCCTGAGGGTCTCACAGCAAATAAAATGTTGCAACTCAAGCTGGTTTTTGCTAAAATTTTGTACATATTTCTAAGGTCCCCTCCCTACAGTATCTGGATACGTTATATACATTTTGATGTACTTCAGTTCAAGAAAGAGGAACAGATGTCCTCATGCACACAAACTGAAGCCACATCCTTTAGATGAATCCGATCTAAATGGTTTATTTTCTACCATACATGGCCTGCGACATTCCTCAGCTCAACAGAAGACTCTCCAAAACAAAGGAATCTTGCATCACACCCTAAAGATGACAAGAGTCTGTCGACCTGTCTCAAATTTTGCCAAGAAATTTCTGATGAAATTACTCCAGCATCATCTCCTCAGCCCCACTCAGCTTGGGTTTATGCCTGAGTATAGTAATTGAGACTGCCCTGGTGGTGACGACTGATGATCTCCTGGTGATGAATGAAGTTTTAGGGCCAGATCCTCACCCCCACGCCAAGACTGCTTTGTGCTGCTCTGGGGGCAAACAGTAACCTGAAAGCCAGCTTGGGGTTTCCTCTGGAGCAGGTAAGTGCCTGGGTGGCATAGAGCTGGTTATGCCGTCTCTACCACACCCAGCTCAGCCCTGATTAGGCTGGGAGGCATGGCTGGGCATCACCAATGCTAGCTGTTCTAAATTGTTCCTCATGACCAAAATGATGCTCAGTGACTCAAGCATCAGGGAGGTACAAAGATGGTTCATAATTTACAGACTCCTATTGAGATCAGCAGCCAAATTCTACTTTGTAAAACAATTGAATCAAATGCATCATGTAGCACAGTGACTTCAATGAGGTTGCATGCTTGTATCCAAGGGCAAAATTTGGCCCTTCGTAATCCCATGGTTTATTTACTTACTTTTAAAAATATTTTTACAATGGTAAACAAATGTTTGTTAATCCAAACCATAAACAGTAATTGCTCTAATTGCTCTATAGAGCAATATTTCAATCTAGTGCTGAGATCATGTATACAATGAACAGGCATATCATTTCATTTTTTTATATAACCCGGAGAATTTTCAACATAATAAAAAGAATGGGCCTATTAAAATGTACCTTACTGTATGGTTTTGATTTGTTTTCTCGTAAATCTTTTTATTGTGCATTTTTTCCTTCTTCCTTGTAAGTATTTACAGAACTATTTCTGTTACAACTGCATGTTATGCAACATTTTTTAACTGATTTTCCCTTGGTTCAATTTAGTGCCAAGAGCAAACTAAAATATTCCATATGAGATTACAGTTATAAAACCAAAAGGAAAATATTAGATTTAAATATAACATTTTGAGGTTTATAAATTTGTTTTATCTTTAATGCTGGGCAGACAGTTTACACAAATCATTTTGCTGCAGACTAAGGTATAACAAGTTAAATGTGTGTGGGATCACCACCAATGAATTTCATTTGTCTTTGACTGACCAAACATTTACAACACATTAAATAACTTTCTAATCAAGTTAGGAAGAATGGGGAACACACCTCAAACTTTTTTTTTTTAATACAGAAGTTTCAGTAAGATTTTTTGGCAATGTTCTAATATATGTACAAAACTCCACTAATAATGTTTGCCTAAAGAATTTGTAAAGGTCTGACAGTTCTTAAATTAAATGTTCTAGTAAGAGTGCTACTTTGCAATGGAAGGAAAGGGACTCCCAGTTAGCAGCTTATGAATGTATTTCTTCCTTTCCTATATAGCCCTTCCTGACAATCCATATCAGCACAGTCCACTTGCAGTTGCAAAGGCTCTGAGTGTTGTATTGGTTCACAATTTCCATCAATTAATGGTTACTGAGATCAAACAAATTTGTTTGTGTTGGGGGAGAACGTTATTTCAATTAAAAACAGTCAACATCATCTCGGCATTGACAGAGTGGGGATTTTGATTTTAGTTAATATGCATCAATTCTCATGTGTTTGTTTTGCCCCAGATATTAACAAACTCAGAAATCTGAACTCCCTGATAATAACTAAACCCAGTTACCCACATGAATAATCCATTGTTCTTGAGTCGTCATGGCAGAAATTGATGTTAACCAATATTAACTGTTTTCTCTCAAAACACTGATAAAACTATATATTTTTGTTTTAATCCTAAAACACTGCTTATGCAGTATCTGAATAGCCTGCTGATAAGGGCACAGAAATGTTCTCTTTGCCCGTTGGCCTCCCAGAAACTGAATAACAGAAATTATGATCTATCCACTCATTGTACTATGCACAGCAAAATAGTATCTAAGTGCTAGGTACAATAAGAATCAGCAACATTGCTACCTTGGTATAAACCAAATTAGGCAATCTTCCCATGATTATACTATACAACTAGAAACACCTGGTCAGAATCAGCAAGACTCCATCTGACTCCAATGGAAGTTCAGAATGCTGTAAACCCTCAGTGAAAGTCCTCAGAGCCTTGCAGAATCAGGCCTGTAGGTTGTAGTGGAAATCATAAAGGGTAACCCAGTGTTGATCAGTCAGCCCCATCTCATTAAACTGCTGAAAAGGAGTGTATGAATGGAAGAAATACATTATGAAATGAAGGAAATACAGAATGGGTGGCTTGAAAAGGGACAAGAGACTGGCAGAACAAGTTGCTGGTGTCCCACTGAGCCTTGAAAGAGACATATGCTGATGGCAAGAGGGACAAATTAATGTCAAGATGCACAATTTTTAATTCTGCTTAATTGAAAGATTGTAACTACAAGATCTAGGTGGTACAGTTTCCTCCCAAGCCATGATTTTTACTTGTTGATGCTGTTCCCAATTTTCTCAGTGAAATCTGTTTTAATTTAAAGTAACCTGCATTGGGGTAGTGGTTACTAAGGATACACACATGCCCTTCCTGAGAGAGGCTGACTCACCTCCGACCCTGAGGAATGCAGAAACTGAACAGAGGTGCTGGCCTACACGAGGGGTCAAAAGCAAGGGCACAGAAGGGCCCGTCCCTAGAAAGGTGCCACAAGGAAGCTGGTATATGCCAGTGTGGGTGCAGAGAAAGCTCAACACCTTTGAGTGTGCCAGATTCCGGTTACAAATATTAGCAGCAGAGCAAGGGACAACACAGTGACCCTCGAGTGAACAGCAGTCCTAAAGAATATAATTAAAGGAAGAGACAACCACCTGCTTTGTGTTTGCTACACTTTCTTTTGGGGATAAAAGAAGGGGGGTGGTTAACTTCAGAGCTGCGGCATGCCAATGAACTAGAGAGAGTTCAGCAAAACTGAGCTTGTGAAGACAAAGGAGTTAAAGTTCATGGTTTGATAAAAGAAGCAAAGGGTCTAACTGTACATGTTAAAGTGAGGAGGCCAAGCTTGCTTTCATATAATTTGGCTTCCATATTGAAAAGCTGAATTCTTCTGACCACATATACTTACCTAAGATGGCTTCTCGCACTAGAGTCTGCAGCCCCTGAGGATCTATGATGACTTTCTGGGGGCTTAAAAAAAAAGTTTCTCACAGTAGCCTCAGAAACCCCAGCTTCTATCTCATGCCAAGAGAATAAATATCAGATGGCACTGCACCGAAGGCTCCCAACCACTGGAACGTGCACCCAAACTGGCCACAGTCCTCCTGGCTTTCCCACCTGGTACTCCAGGAAACCCCTGCCCACTTTCATGATGGACTTCAGGAGCCATGGCCCACCTCACATTCCATCATGTCCTGGCCCCTGATCACAAATACAGGATTGGAAACTGGCCAACTTCTATGTCTAGCAAGAATGCCTGAAAACAGAATAAGAGGAAAGGAACACTGAGTAAGGCTATGTCTACATTACAGACCTCACTTCAGCTGCGCCACTGTAAGGTCTCCTGTGTAGCCGCTCTATGCCGATGGGAGAGAGCTCTCCCGCCGGCATAATTAAACCACCCCCAATAAGCAGCAGTAGCTACGTCAGCAGGAGAGTGTCTCCCACCGACACAGTGCTGTCCACACTGGAGCTTTTGTCGGTGAAACTTATGTCATGCTGGAGTGTGTTTTTTCACACCCTGACCGACAAAAGTTTTATCAACAAAAGTGCTAGTGTAGACATGGCCTAACTCAGGTGAGGTCTTAGTCTAGTGAGATGGTACTGTTGCCCCAAAAGGGTGGGAACAACAGCACTACAAGTTTTTGCAAATAAAGCCCTAAGGGGCTCTTTGACTGAGGAGCAATAAATAAAGGAATTATGTTGTAGGAGGTTTCGGCTTAAGTACAAACACATGGTCCATATTTATTCTCACAGTGAGAGGTCCACTAGCCACTTTATGTAAAAGAGCAAAATGATCATTCTTTTTCTCTAGGCGCTTTGTTGCCATATGGGATGCATATAAATCATATTTTTGTTTTAACAGCAGAGGCTTTCCTGATAGATAAACATGTGGTTTATCTAAAAAAGGGATTGAAATGGATTGTGCTTTGAACAATCATTTAATGGCCATAGATGTGCCAAATAAAAATAAAAACATAATTTTTTAAGAACCTGGCCCACTGCCCAATTTATAACAGAATTTGTGTGTGTATGTATGTGTGTGTTTCACTAAACTGGTTAATGTGTCCCTATCTGTTTTGAATTTAAGCTGTGCTCTCTACTCAACCCTGTGCCAAATTGAATCCCAGGCTAACACACTCTAATGAGACAAGACATTACCTTTATGAATGACCTCATAGAGAAGAGGTTGGCTAGCATTGTCGAGAGGCCCGGTGCCAGGCAGCTCTGGGCTATGAAACCCAGCTTGAGCTCAGCAAGACAGATTGCGTCATCCCCTTCTTTCCAATTCCAGCTTGGGATATTTAGCAGATGGGCCTGAAGGAAGAAACACAGGTAAAGGACCCCAAATACTTTCCCTGCATTCTGCTAACACAGGAAATAGCCAAGCAAGTGATAGCTAATCTTTTCCTTTAGTGCTGGACTTCCTTTTCCTGTAGAAGGTAAAAATATAGTTAGGGCAGTGATACTCAAACTTCAGTGAACAACATTACCAACAAGAGCTACAGTAGTGTGAATTAATTGTTTCATAAATTATTCTCACAGGAAAATGACTGACCAAGTATTCTACAATTGGTTAATAACATAGTAAAATCACATAGTGTTTTAATATCACGTGCTGCAAAAAGCCACGGGAGACACATTAAAGAGCCACTTGCAGCTTCCAAGCCTCAGTCTGAGCATCACTGGATTAGGGGCAGGGCTGGCTCTGGCTTTTTTGCTGCCCCAAGCAAAAAAAACCCTGTGGCGCGGCCAGAGCGGGGAAGCGGGGGGGGGGGGGGGGGGGGGGGGGGGGGGGGGGACGGGACCTGCGGCACGGCCAGAGCGGCAAAACAGGAAAAAATTAAAAACCTGCGGGGCGGCCAGAGCCAGGGGGACTCCCTGCACTGCAGATGTGCCCCGGCTAGCGGGTGGGGGGGGAGGGGAGAGAGAAGGGGGGCAGCCAGGGCTTCAGCGGGGCGCTCGCCACGCGGCCCCGACCGCCGCATCGCCTGCCGGGAGGGCTCCGCGCCGCTCCACTCGGCGGGGAGGGAAGAACGCGGGCTGCCCTGCCGGGCTTGCTACAGACCTGGCACTGGCTGGGGGAGATGGAGTGCGCAGCCCGCTCCCAGCAGGGCGCTCCCCTCCTCCGCGCCGCCGCCCCCTACAGGGCGGCCGGATCGGCCAACCAAAAAAAAAAAAAAGCCGCCATGCCGCCCTAGGATTGGGTGGAATGCTGCCCTGTAGAATCTGCCGCCCCAAGCACGAGCTTGCTCGGCTGGTGCCTGGAGCCGGCCCTGACTAGGGGGTTTAAATCAATATTCCTCCAAACCAAAACATTTCCAATAGAGATTTTGTATCAGGAACTTCTCCACTTTCACACCTTTCAGTTTAAAATCTCCCAGCATCCCTCAAGATCTCGTATTATGGTGACCTTCTGTCAACTGGATGGGAGGCTTTGTAAGGCCCATCAACAAAGCTGAAGTTGTTACATAGTGCTATGAAGTTTTCATTGCACCCAGGTCTGTGTATACACCCTCTTAAGCAATCTCAGCTACTCCCTGACAAATAAACACACATAAACCCCAGAAATCAACCACAGGTTTTTAATCTAGCCCAGCTCTCGAACAGTATGATATAACCTGTACTTTTCTGGTTTCTCCCACCCTCAGAATCAAATAAGCACAAAGCCTGGTGTAAGGAGTCTCTTCTCTCAGGCTTTTGATTATGGGACTAGTGCACAGTGAAATAGTGGACAAAAACGATCAGCCAGGTACCTATATGGGTACTTCCATATATAATTGATTTCATATCAAATTTTCCTTGGAAAAACCACGAGAAAAACATGTTTTGCCAAACTCAAAGTAATTTAAAGAAACTCAAAATTTTATAGAACATTCTAGAGGTTTTTGTGAAATGCAAAACTCTAGTGGTCACTTTTATCCTTCTGTCTCTCACACACGTATGCATGCACATGAACACAAACAGAGTCCTTCATGCTTTCCTCCTCCTGATAATCTGATTAACACCATTCATCATTTTTTCTTCATTTCCTCATTAATTTTCATTAGAAATATAAAGAGAAAATGTGTTTTTAATACAACATGTTTCCCGTTGAGGGTGTTTAAAATACAGAAATAGCATGATTCTGTTCCACAAAAGAAGGTTGACCAAATTCTGTATGTTAGCTGTCCTCCACTCACATATGTGCAGGAGACCACCCAGGCAGTAAAAATCACGCTGTGTAAAACCAGGTGGATCCTGAGCAGGCCTAAACTTCTTTAGCTATGGTTATAAAGAGACAAGGTGGGTGATGTAATATATCTTTTACTGTACTAACTTCTGCTGGTGAGAGAGACAAGCTTTTGAGCCACACAGAGCTCTTCTTCAGGTCTGGGAAACTTAATCAGTGTCACAAATAAGTACAACATAGAACAGATTGTTTAGCTTAGAAGTTAACATATATTTCATGAGACCATTCAAGGTGAAATGAAGGTGCGAACCCCTTTGGAAATCTTAAACATAGTCTGCAGATCCCAGGGTTCCACAGACTGCAGGTTGAAAACCACTGTTCTACAGTAATCCCATACACTCTCCTATCTGTGTAGGTAATACAAGCATCATACATGGTTTAGTGAATCAAGTTGGGCCTTATTTCACAGGAGATGTGTGCTTACAAGCCCAACTGAAATCGATGGGAGCTGTGGAAGCTCAGCACCCCAGGGTAACAAACATCCTAGGGTTCTGATAAGGTCCCTGGCATATGTAAATACAACAGAATTAACTCTTTAGTGGATTCCATGACAACTCGTATTCACATGTTCCTACTGAGAAAGAAAAATGCTTCCCATTTAGGCAGCTAAAATAAGTGGGTGTGGGAGACTGCGGTAGCTCTGAAGAGCGAGACCCCTTGGTCTTCTCATTACCTTGTTATGATACTGCAGCATCTGAGTGATAATTCTTATCTTCGGATGGTAATTCTTTATGGAAATTACTCTTTAAAAAAAGAAGAAAGAAAGAAAAAATTAACATTTTAGCTGGTGGACATCTTGGACATTCTACCATTTTTCCTATAGACCCAGGCTTGTGGACCTGGTGTTTCTGAGCCTCTGTTTGAGCATCCACACTGCACTGTAAACCTAGGTTTACAATTTCTGGACCTGGGTCTCACAGCCATGCTAACACTGCACTACACACGGCAGTACATAGACCTTCTGACTCAGACCTGCGGCTTGACCAGCATCCATACTGCAAAATGATAGGGCTTGGACCCATTCCACAGCTGGACTTGGGCTCTGATCTACCCCTCCATCAGGGTTCTAAGAACCTGGGTCCTCAATGTTTGCTGACTCAAGTCAGACTGATCTGTGTGTGTGAAAGGGGGACTTGGGCTCCAACCTGAGGCAGAGCCCAGGTTTAGTGTGCAGAGTACACAGACCTTCTGAGAGCAACAGCTTATTACAATAGTGTGCTGCCAGAAGTTGCATTGCAAGCATAAGGGGAAAACTTGCGTTGCTGACTTATTCCCAATATTAGAGAATAAAGTTGTCCAATAAAGTTGTTTGAATCTCTTTTTGTAGGGAGGAGAATTGAAGAGCAAAGAGAAGAGTGTGATGCTCCCCTCCCCCTATTAATGTCCCATTTCCCACTGTTTAATTAATTCAGTTTTATTGAATCAAATTCATTTATTGTGAGATCACATAAGATAATTCTATTCCCAATAACACTTTTACATTTTATTACATTAAAACATATTGAATCCATTTAAGAACACACTAATCTGCATCTGGAATACTCTTTAATCTATGTATTGCAATTAAAATCAAACTAGGGTTTTTCCCAACACATCCCAAATGTTGTTTTGGAAAATGAAATGAGCTTACTTAAACCCTGCTCCTTCCACAGGCATCTCACACTCTAGGCATACTGGGCTTTTTCCAGTGAAGTTTCTTTTTTTTTTAATTGTATTCCTGTATCTACCTTCAACTCATAGAATGCAAGCATCTAACAGGCCAAAAAAAGTGGTTTATAACACTGGCCAATTCATTGTATAAGCTAATTTTTAATGGATCTTTTACATTTTAATTTTAAAAAGGGCAGACTGGTCTCCTTAAAACTAAGGCTGTATGAGCAAAATACAAATAATGGAGGACTCAACCTTATTTTAAACTTACTTTTGCCATTTCCTTATTTCTCCCCTACTATATGAGACTAACAATGGCATCTTTTCTCCTTAGGTTTTAGAAAAGCAGGTGATATTTGTTAATGGGGCTGGAGAACAGTAACCAGTGACCCTGCTATGTAAATACTGTTTATACCCATAGAATTATAGACTATCAGGGCTGGAAGGGACCTCAGGAGATCATCTAGTCCAACCTGCTGCTCAAAGCAGGACCAATCCCCAGACAGATTTTTGACCCAGATCCCTAAATGACCCCCTCAAAAATTGAACTCACAACCCTGGGTTTAGCAGGCCAATGCTCAAACCACTGAGCTATCCCGCCCCCCTATGGCATAGAGGTACAGGGCATTCTACCTCTGTTGCTTGGGAGAGCCAACACCATTAATATGGTCTTTCAGCTCCATTCTTCTAAAAGATGGGACAAACAAAGGAAAAAAAAGAGGGGAACTTCAGACCCCCATTGAATATAGGGATTCTTTTTAGAATACAGCAATGAACACAACTACCTGCTCCATAAAACTGGAATCCTGAAGGTGCTCCCTCAACACCCCCCCCCAAAAAAAAAAACCTAAAAAAAAAAGCCCCACCATGTGAAACCAAATCCTGTATGCTATCGTTCCCCTTACTGATCAGAGAGGAATGCACAGGAACTCATACCAAGAAAAACTGGACTTTCCTTGCAAGGACACCAATAATGATATTTGTTGAAGGAAAGACTGCAAGTAGGAAGAGACAATCTGTATATTGGATTCTGAACTAAAATATGTTTGATCCCAATGCACAGGATAATGTGTTTGGGACACTAAGGTCCCTATGATGCTGGCAACGTGTAGAAAGTACAGGGCACACAAAGGCAGTTTTAATGTGAGCATCCGTTTTATCCTCATTCTCCAGATTAAAATTTGCGAGGCCACATAAGTTGTACTGGCTGCAAAAAGATCTGTAGCTGACCTACGCTGGTTACCTGGGCTAGCACTTCCTCCTTTCATCATTTTACCCTCATGGACACACTATACCCAAGCCAGCCCTTCCATCTTATACTTCTTCCATCTCCACACTATTGAGGCAATCCTGTGCATTCCGCCAGTTTAATTCCCTGTCTCTGGAAGCAATTCTGTGAGAAGTTTTCAACTGTAACAGATGTGGGTATGGTCCACCTAGACACCAGCAATTTGCTAGTCAGAAATGAGAATGACAACCATATTCAAAAACTCTTCAGGTTACCTCATAATATTGGAGGCATCTTCAGCATCTGGGTCAGCGCAGTATTTATTGGCAAGGATTAGGCATGCATCTGCTGACTCTATCTGAGACACCGAAAAAATAAGTAGAACAATAAATAAACATAAATAGAAACCTTTGTTTCCAACTTCTTCTCACAGCCACCAGCCGCTAAGAAATCAGCTTCTTCCTCCAGAAGCAAGAACAACAGTTTATAGCTTTTGCTGAGTATAAATGTAGATTCTGACTCTTTACGATATCAGTGCCAATACTTACATGGAGCTGATCACTTTAACTTCTCAAAACACTTTCCAAACATTAAACATTACAGTGCTCATTGTAGGTAAGTACTTTAGTTATTACTAACTACTACCGATTACTAATGTTATTTCAGAGATACCAAAAATGAAGCACCAACAGGTTAAATGCCAAAGTTTTAAAACTCCATGTTGCAGGTCAGGCTCCTAAACCCATAGGGACAGGAACTGTCTTTCTGTTGTTTGTACAGTGACTATTACAACAGGGCCAGAGCTGCTGTTTGGGTCCTTGGGCAATAACATAATAAAAATACATCTCTACCCCGGTATAACGCGACCCGATATAACACGAATTTGGATATAACGCAGTAAAGCAGCACTCTGGGGGGGCAGGGCTGCGCACTCTGGCGGATCAAAGCAAGTTCAATATAACGCGGTTTCACCTATAACGCAGTAAGATTTTTTGGCTCCCGAGGACAGTGTTATATCAGGGTAGAGGTGTAATAATAGATAACTGATTTTAGGGGCAAAGTTAATCTACTTGCAAAACTTACAATCATCAATCTTAGTCTAGTTAGCATAAAGCAGCAGATTTAAAATATAACAAAATGACTTTTTTTCAGTACATTTGGGCAAATCCCACACAGTAAAGCAGGGGATGGAAGAGAGAAGATAACAAGACTGAATTTTATAGCCATTACAAGGACATCATTTTATGCTGCTGATTAGAGCTCAGCTCAGTGTATGTTGTGTAAAAATGGACTGAACAGCTTTTGTAGCCAGAACAGGCAAAAATCCTAATTTCTGCTCACTAGAACAGTTTAACATTAGGCAAAGATCTTTATGATTTAAGAAGCTTGTTCACGTCCCATTAGAAAGACATGAAATGGGGTAATGCTGCATATAAGTTTGGTATCTTTTACTCTTCTGAGCTTCAGGGTTTGCTTTAAGAGGATAGAATTATTTAGCATGGAGTACGGTACTTTAACCAATACAGCCATCTTATTATAGTTAGCAAATATCTCAAATTGTATTTACTTTTTCAGGACACCTGACAATAGAAAAATGGTGAAAAAATGTTTTCTAATTGTCCCTATGCAAGCGTGCCAATAATGTTTATAACATCAAGTTCTAAAATGTTAAACATTAATATTAACAACCATAGGACCTCTCCTATTAAAGTCAACTAAAACATCCCCATTAACTTCAGTGGACGTTGGATCGGAGCTAGAAACTGCTTATTTAAGAGAAGACAGCTAGTAGAAATAAAGAATCAACAGAATCATTACCTTTACTCTTGCCAGGTCATGCGGATTGAGAACTGAACCCTGATAAAATTCCACCTGAGTGAAATGTCGTTTAAAAAGAGCTTCCAGCTCAAGGTTAGGGGAGATACTGCATTGGGGGGAAAACAAACAAGAAATCAATTTGCACAACGTTTCTGTCCCGCTCTTGTATTCATTTTTAAACTGTTTGAAATTCCATCGATACTTTTCTTGTGGGGTGAAAACAGTGGGCCTCACCTACTGTTAGCAAAGCTCCATTCCTTTCACTTACATGTGAATGTGGTCTACCAAACGGAGGTAAGAGCAGCTTCCCTGAATGTTGCAGCTGTCAGGGTTACAGGGTTAGCTGTTTTCTCTTATTTTGTGCTTTGCTCCTGCTTTTAAGAGTAAATAATACTTTGGTTTGAGAAAGCTGTCCAGTGGCCTGTATTAACCGCTGGTCAGAAGCTCCCAAAGGGAAGACTCACAGATGCCTAACCTGGTCAAGCCTGCTGAGTAATCACAGTTGGCATGTAGGGTAATGTAGGTCATGGACCGTCTAAGAGAGGAAGAATTGGAGAACTCCACCAAGGACAGACAAAGGCATGAGGCCTAACATCTGAAGGGAGTGCACTGAGAGAGACCAGAAAAGGGGACAGAGGTGCAGCTAGTCATGGAACCGTGACAGCAACTCCCATCAATTCAAACACAGTGAGGTGCTTTACACTCTTTGATGTGTAACTATTCTGTCTCATTGACATAGATGCAGTATCCATACTGCTTGGCACAGCTTTGATCTAGGAATCATAAATAACAGCACAGAAAAGGTCCGTATTGGCAGCTAGCATTATTTATTAACTCTACTGCTCCCAGGTTAATTAAGAAACACAAACAAACCTAGAAAATAGGAACAAAATTGTCCATCAAAGATGTGCTCTTAGCAACATCAATTCATACATACAAGAGCAATACTAAGCCCTAAAATCTCCTCAGCTTCGTTAGGAATTTGTCCCTGTCAGCACGTGAATTGAAGACCAAAGGATGCAAAAGCAGCAGCTTATTATTTGAGTGAAAGGAAAATCTGCCTAGTGTATGGGCTGCTCACTCAGACCAGACCACACAGTTATCTACCTGCACTTTGATGTAATTCCAGTCATACAGTCAGACTGTATAATTCATACAGTAGGTTAACAGCCACCAAGAGGACCTGATAATACCTCTAGATTGTATTAACTGTTACTAAGTGCATTCATTATAATTTTGTCATGTCATTTTTGACCAGCGGTCATTTTCACATAAGCAGGTAGTCAAATGAAAAGTAATCCATTATAAAAATGTGGCCCACACCTACCTAGCTCTCTTAGTAACAAAGCAAGCATTTACTTGCCAGGTAAACAGCGTCAATAAAATAAAAAAAATGTTTACTTGCAGTTGTGTATGCTTTTACTGCAAATGCATGCTCAAATAAGTAGTAACTGCTTAGCCACCCATCCTGTGCACGGGCAGTTACCAGAGTTCTATAAACTATTGTTGAAAGTGCATATGCAATTGTGCGTGCAAGTTTGTCACACCTTTTTTTTGTGCTGGAACCTCCAGATTCCCTTTGGAAATTAAGTTCCACTACCCTAATAAAACATGAGCGGTTACCAGGGGATATCAACTGTATCCATTACTCCAATTGAATGGCAATATTATAAAATCAGCCAGGTAGCAACTCTATGCATTTTCAACTTCCTTTATCCAATCATCACAAATGATTCTTAACCTTTTAATCATTTTGTTTGACAGGAAGGAAAGTGCATTGCTTGCTGTTAAGTGCATTAATATCACTCATTCAAAAACAGCTCATGGCACTTAGAAATGCATGCTGCTCCTGATAGGAAAAGACAGTTAACACCATATTTCTCTCAAGCAAATAGCTATTTCTAATAGCCTCTCCCTAAGACATGCCAATTTGATGTTGAATTATGTGTAATGGGATGCTAGTGACAAACAGCAACTACCTTTAAGCAAAATTGCTGATGGGAAGGGCATTCCCAGGCAACTAATGACTGGCTGGAGAAGTTGTGGCCCAGTCAGTCGTTAACTGACAGGAAATGACTTGAACACGATCACTAATGTTACCAGATAACATATATTTTAAAATAATTTAAAGCAATTTGCTGTTTCTATCTGCTTGCAGCATCACTATGTCTGTGCAACAGCATTTTGTTTTTGTTAGCTGTTTTGCTAGCAGTCATAGTCTAATACAGTAAAGCCAGAGAGCCCCAATACCTGGGGGTGACTGCACCAATTTCATAGATCTACATGGATTGTATCATTCAGTGCTCATCATCTCATTCATTTTTACAATTCAGAGTGCATCTTGGACTTCTCCAAACTGTTCAGATTCTATGAGCAGCTAAAAGGGTGGTGGAAAACGGCAGTGTACCATGGAGCACTTCTTGTTACAGGATAATGTCAGTCATTTTTCAAAATTTTAGAATCCAACAATCTTTTAACATTTTACCAGTTTTATGTAAATTAACAGAAATAGCCCATTCATTGGAATGGGCTATTTCTGTTAATTTACATAAAACTGGTAAAATGTATTCAGCTTCTGCAAGTTTGTAATCTCCTGAAGAGAAGATTAAATGCAGCAGAATCTCTTTCATGATGTTTGTGTTTGGAAAAGCAGCCAGTTATGCACATCTTTGGGTAAGTTTCAGCACATATTTGAAATATGTCGTTAGAATCAGAAAACACAGTTTTACTGCAATTTAGCTTGCAACTGTTAGACAGTTGTGAGATAAAAATTGGAGATGAAGATAGATAATACACATACCTATGAATGGGCATTCCTAACATGTTTTTCCCCATAGACTGCATGATAGACATTAATCTCCATAAACTAAACTTAGAACTACTATCCAGGGCCAAAGAAAACTTCTGCAGTATTTATTAATATGTGTTGAATATTATTTCTTATTTCTAAATGTCATGCACTCTTTAAAATATACTGGTCTATTAACCTAGTGACAAACTATTGAGTTTTTCTTTAATATAAGGAGCACGAGTCTAAAGTCCAGTGGCTTCAAGTACTATTAAGTATGCTAGTAGGTGGGAACAATTGTGGTATCCAATAGGAAAACAAGATTTATTTCTCAACATTCCATTAGTTTTTCAATGTTGGCAAATACGCTGTTCAAATCAGGATAACCAGGGATGATTTGATCTGTCATGGTATTTATTTCTTCAAAAATTCAGATATATGTATTTAATTCATTATCCTTCATTAATTATCATTCACTAATTATTTAATTAATTTGAAATTTATTTAAACTATTTCTCTTGTACCTCCTATTAGATCAAGGCTTCTCATTCTTTGTACAGCATTTGCTTTCTTAATTTATTAACTGCATGTATAAAATATCCTTGGTCAGACCTCCTCTTCTGCAGAAGCATTATTTTGAGAATGGTAGGAAGCTTTATTTTATTTTATTTTTTTAAAGTGTCAAGTTTTAACTAACAAGGCAGGGCCAATCTGTTCCTTTTTTCTTCCGTGCTGACTTGTTTCCACTTGCTGTAGGATGCAGCACAACACAAACACCTATTGAACAATCTAGCGATTGTATACCAGACCAATGCAGTCTTTGCTGAGGCTTAACTAAAATCAGTTAGGGTCAAATATCACCCTTTGATGCATACGGTTCCAAATTAAGTCAATGTGAGATCTTTTGTGCACCTGATGGCAGAATTTGGGCCCATTGAGCAGCAAAGAAATGAAAAATTTCTGTGCAACGGCCTGGAGGTTCCTGAGACTTTCTTATAGAAAGATATTGAGCCTGCCCTAGGAAAGCAACAGAGGGTCCTGTGGCACCTTTAAGACTAAGTATTGGGAGCATAAGCTTTCGTGGGTAAGAACCTCACTTCTTCAGATGCAAGACCAGTCAAAATCTCTTTGAGCCTTGCTTTTCCCCGTGTGAAATGTTAACATACTTACCTAACGTACAGCACAAACCAAACATGTATATAGTTGTGAACTACTATCTCTCCAGTTTATCATGATGACACTTGCATCTGAATAAGTGAGGTTCTTACCACAAAAGCTTATGCTCCCAAAACTTCTGTTAGTCTTAAAGGTGCCACAGGACCCTCTGTTGCTTTTTAGAGATTCAGACTAACATGGCTACCCCTCTGATACTTGCCCTAGGAAAGACACTGATTTAGATTAATAATGGATACAAATATTTAGAAACTGATTTTTAGGCCTCAGTAATCTAACAAAATATATTGCAATGAACTACCAGATAATGTGCAACCAATGAAGAATAGCATCTGACAGCAAGACTGGGAAGTATTCATGGATTGATACTACATACTTAAAAAAGCTTCATTGGAAGATGAAATAAGGCTTTTTAAACTGTAACAGCAATATGTGGCTTCATAATGCAATCTTGGCCTTTGTGTCATCATGATAAACTGGAGAGATAGTAGTTCACAACTATGTACATGTTTGGTTTGTGCTGTACGTTAGGTAAGTATGTTAACATTTCACACAGGGGAAAAGCAAGGCTCAAAGAGATTTTGACTGGTAATGTCAAAAAGAGTTTATGAGAGTCAGGCACCTAAATCCCACTGAAATTCAATAGGAGTAAGACTCCTTAAATCCCGACCTTAGACTTATAAAAAGCTAGTGGAAGCATCACAAATTGACATCCATTAATTGGCCATTAATTTCAAAGGGGACAGGATTTCACCCCACGGGTCAAATATATCTCTGGTCTAACTTCACCGAATAAGTTTGACCCTAACAGTCTCATCATCCCCTGCTCTACCCTCAAACCAACACTGACTCCAAGGAGACTTTAGGACACATTCAGACCTGTTTGATCAGCAAGAAAGGTTTTGGTTGGAAAGATTACTCACTTATGCAGAAAGACGATTTCCACGTTCACATCATCCCTGTCCTTGTGCAGGAAGTCCTTCAGGAAGTTGGACACACTTTCAAGTGTTATGTGACCACAGACAACTATGTGCCTGTGACAGAAAACTTACAGTTACTTTTGCAGGGAAAACTAACAAACAAGCATGCAAACAAAAAGGGTAAAATGAGCTGTTAGCTGAAAAGGGAAGCATTCTTCCTGATGCTTCTTTAACACCTATTCCCTGAAGTCATCAAAGGAAAACATCAATACTAGAAGATACTTTGACATTGAAAATACATATGGGCTCTCACCTGAAGCTGCAAAAGACTATTACAAGCAAAACCATTTGGCCAAGTGTTTTTAAGCATTTAACAATAAATATTATTATTTATGTATACACTTATATGCTGTATTATCCAGTCCCTTTCAGAGTCATATTTCTCCTTCCACCTCCTCTCCTAAGATTTACTATTTAATTTTTTGTTTATGACATAAAGCTTATCATGTAATAAGACAACAAATCTCCCTGAAATGATTCTACTTATTTTACTGGTTATATCAGTGAAGCCAGTGAGAAACTTGACATGTTATGGGCCATAAGCAATAAAAAGAGAAATCTTGCATTTTCTACCATAAGTCCTACAGCAGGAGCCTTTTACAATAAGTGGACATTTTTAAATTCTGCAATGCAATGGAACACCCCCACAGAACCAGAGTCCGTACAGAGAGTGCTATCACACTTATGCTCCATGCAATTTCCAGCAGGGTCAAAGGAAAGAACCCAAATATGCAACACAGAAACAGTGTCCACTTCTATATATTGATTTCTTACACGCCGAGTGAAATGTCTAAAGTTGTGTCCTTTCTTTGCTTCCTTGCTTAATGGATTGTTAAGCCACTTATTATAAAGTATTGTCCAAGTACTTGTGTTAGCATGCTCTACAGTGGCTCAGTGTTTCTACCACAACACAGACAAAAGCATGGCTTTCATTAGTCAGATGAGTACATGGGAGGTGCTGGTGTTTACGGTACTTCCATTGCTACTGTTGTTCCTTGCCACATTTCTTGCAGCTGTCAGGGAAAGAGAGGGCAGTAGAAGTGTGGATTCAATTTAATTATTAAGGTAGCAAAGAGTCATTCGGTAATCTGACCTCATTACAGCTGATTGAGTCTATATGCGGATTGCAACAAAGGCACAATTTATTTATTGGCTGGCATCTGAGCTGCCAGCAGGTGGCCAAAAAGAAGCAAAGTAATTTCAAGGGCTAAATTTAAACTGCCCAAGTCTTACCTATTTCATAATTGTTCTGTGCGCATTCCATTAATGCAGAAACCTCATTGGCTGGAAGCAACAAATAATAGGTAGCAGCAATAATCGCTTATGTAATGTACCATAAGGGACTATTATGGGAGCCTGTCCTTGCTTCATAATTTGGTGTTTGACTAAGTATATGAAAATAATGCAATGAACTCATTGGTGAAAGGATAATGATGCAGAACAAAAAATAAATCAATAATATGCATGATGCAGTTAATAATATCACCATCATGTACTACTACTTTTGCAGTGGTGCAGGTAGTGACTAGGAAAGCAAAGCACAATGAAGTATTATACTAATCCAGCACACCCTAGGGGACTGCTTTACTATTACCACTTTGTTTTTACAAATACATTAGCATAAGACTTTAGATCTGAATTTAGGAAGACAATTATCTCAAACACTTCTTATCTGGCCTTTCAATGACAACCCACCAAGTCATGAGCGCATGGAGTATTAGAAAATAAACAACAAAAATCACAGACTGGTTTTTTTCTTCAATTTCTAATGGTTTATATACAACTATATTTAGGCTGTACTATGTCTAATTAGGACCTGGTACTACAAATACTTATTTGCCAGGTGCAGTGCTTGCTACCGCGAGTGGCTGTTCTAGCTTCAATAGGATTTCATCACATCATAAACTACATGTTTGGTAGAAATGGATGAAGCACTGGACTCTCAGACGGTGAACTCCTCAAAGCAGGAAACAAAAACTTTCTCCCCTGTTCCATAAGGTACCAAGCACTGTATCAGCATGCAATAAGTAACAAATACAATAAACCAAATATTTGACCCATTTTTGGTGCAAAAAGAGACTTGAGAGCTGCCCTGTGGGGCCTTCACAACCTGGCAGTTTATAGCAGCCTCTGTGCTGGAGCCAGGGCTGGTGTAGAAATTGTCACTGGTTGGGGAGCTGCAAACTACTTCTTGGCTGCAGCATCCTTCAGCTTTGCCCAGTGTTTGCCGGGTGCAGATGAAGGTTCAGCTGACTGGAAGGTCATCTAGTCCAGTCCCCTGAACTCATGGCAGGACTAAGTATCATCTAGACCATCCCTCACAGGTGTTTGTCTAATATGCTCTTAAAAATCTCCAATGGTGGAGATTCCACAACCTCCCTAGGCAATTTATTCCAGTGCTTAACCACCCTGACAATTAGGAAATTTTTCCTAATGTCCCACCTAAACCTCCCTTGCTGCAATTTAAGCCCATTGGTTCTTGTCTTATCCTCAGCACTTAAGAACAACAATTTTTCTCCCTCCTCCTTGCAACAACCTTTTATGTACTTGAAAACTGTTATGTCCCCACTCACTCTTCTCTTTTCCAGACTAAACAAACCCATTTTTTTAAAATCTTCCCTCATAGGCCATGTTTTCTAGACCTTTAATCATTTTTGTTGCTCTTCTCTGGACTTTGTCCAATATCTCCACATCTTTCCTGAAATGTGGCGCCCAGAACTGGACACAATACTCCAGTGGAGGCCTAATCAGCGCAGAGTAGAGTCTCGGTCTCTCTCATATGCACGCAACAGCACACTAAAATCAGATATTGCATCAGAACAGAAAGTGTAGCAAACTCATTACTCAATGTAAATGAATGGAGAGTACAAATATGATTTTAAGGGCTAGGTCCCCATGGCTGATTCATCCTGTAGGCTCTCTCTTTGTGAACATAAGCATAGCAGAACAGATATCTCCATGTTATTTCTTGGGGAAGTAGTCAGACTTAGGCAGGCAATGCTCCTGGTTGAGGTAAACAAGAATGATTGAACACAGAGGTAAGTGCTAGCATTCACAGTGGTCAATATTTCCTTTGAGAGACACAAATCGTGGTCACAGTAGCATGAAGTCAATAAGTTACTTGTAAGCAAAACTTTTAGAGATTTGCACAGACATTTTACTAACTCTTCTGACCATCTCTGGGTTTCAGAAAGAGCAGCAAAGAAGGGTCTCAACAAAAGGCTGCTCTGACAGCAGAAAGGCTTGTGTCAACTGCTCTTGGAGCAGTTCTCTCTAGAGACCCCAGCTTTCTCCTAACTGGTCCCCTTCTATTCATCTCAAATTAGCCCAGTCCACCAACTTAACCTAAAATGAGTCAACCTGCTTTTAAATTCCAAGGCTTGCAGTCTTCCTTTGTCTCTCTGTGAGCCTCTTAAGAAAATAAGAACGGCCATATTGGGTCAGACCAATGGTCCACCTAGCCCAGTATCCTGTCTTCTGACCATGGCTGGTGCCTAATGCTTCAGAGGGAATGAACAGAAGAGGGAAATTATTGAGTTATCCACCCCATGTCATCCAGCTCCAACTTCTGGCAGTCAGAGGTTTAGGGACACCCGAGCATGGGGTTGCATTCCTGACCATTTTGGCTAATAGCCATTGATGAATTTATCCTCCATGAACTTATCTGATTCTTTTTTGAATGCTGTTATACTTTTGACCTTCACAACATCCCCTGGCAATGAGTTCCACAAGTTAACTTTGTGTTCTGTGAAGAAGTACTTCCTTTTGTTTGTTTTAAACCTGCTGACTATTAATTTCATTGGTGACTGTGGCTCATGTCTTATGTGAAGGTGTAAAAGGCACTTCCTTATTCACTTTTTCCACACCATTCATGATTTTACAGACCTTTCTCATATCCCCCCTTGGTCATCTCTTTTGTAAACTGAACAGTCCCGGACTTTTTAATCTCTCTTCTTATGGTAGCAGTTCCATATGCCTAATCATTTTTGTTGCCCTTCTCTGTACTTTTCCCAATTCTAGTATATCTTTTCTGAGATGGGGTGACCAAGACTGCACAGAGTATTCAAGGCATGGGTGTACCATAGATTTATATAGAGGCATTATGATATTTTCTGTCATATTATCTATGCCTTTCCTAATGTTTCCTAACATTTTGTTAGTTTTTTTGACTGCCACTGCACATTGAGCAGATGTTTTCAGAGAACTATCCATGGTGACACCAAGATCTCTTTATTGAGTGGTAACAGCTTAATTTAGAGCCCATCATTTTGTATGTATATTTGGGATTATGTTTTCCAATGTACATTACTTTGCCCTTATCAACACTGAATTTCATCTGTCATTTTGCTGCCCAGTCTCTTCATTGTTTACCCCTTTTTTCAGATCATTTATGAATATATTGAACAGCATTGGCTCCAGCACAGAACCTTGGGGGAATCTCATTATTTACCTCTCTCCACTGTGAAAACTGACTATTTATTCATACCCTTTGTTTCCTAGCTTTTAACCCATTACTGATCCATGAGAGGACCTTCCCTCTTACCCTTATTCCTTACTTTGCTTAATAGCCTTTGGTGACAGACCTTGCCAAGGTTTTCTGAAAATGGAACTACACTAAATCCATTAGATCACCTTTGTCCTCACATTTGTTGACACCCTCAAAGAATTCTAATAGATTGGTGAGGTGTGATTTCCCTTTACAAAAGTCATGTTGATTCTTCCCAAGCATATTTTGGTGAAGAATAGGGCTGGAAGTACTTGGTTTCAATGTTGAGGGTCCTAGGTAATGAATTTCTTGAGCATTCTCTTTAGCATCTCATTAAATCTTTCCACTAGACCATCCGTCTGTGGATGGTACAGTGATGTGCATAATGCTTTGATTTTCAGCAGGCCACAGACCGATCTCATCATGGAATTTGTTCCTGGTCTGTCAGGATCTCTTTGGGAATCCCTACCCACACAAAGACCTTCAGTAGCTCATTAGTGACCGTCTTGGCATTCCCTGACCTGAGTCATATAGCTTTTGGGTATCAGGTCATGTACAGAATGTACTT